GAGCCGCTGTCTGTATGTGTACGTGTGCGTGTGTGTATAAGTGTACGCGTGCGTGTACAAGTGCGTGTCTGTATTTGTACGTGTCTGTATGTGTACGTGTGCGTGTACGAGAGCGTGTCTGTATTTGTACGTGTATTTCTGTATTTGTACGTGTGTGTGTGTGTGTGTGTGTGTGTGTGTGTGTGTGTGTGATAAGTGTACATGTGCGTGTGTGTATAAGTGTACGTATGCGAGTGTGCGCGCACCTGTTCGTGCGGCGTGACGGCGCGGCGCGGCGCGTCCCGCCCTCCAGCTTGAGCCGCTGTCTGTATGTGTACGTGTGCGTGTGTGTATAAGTGTACGCGTGCGTGTACGAGTGCGTGTCTGTATTTGTACGTGTCTGTATGTGTACGTGTGTGTCTGTATGTGTACGTGTGCATGTTTGTATAAGTGTACGTGTGCGTGTACGAGAGCGTGTCTGTATTTATACGTGTATTTCTGTATTTGTACGTGTGTGTGTGTGTGTGTGTGTGTGTGTGTGTGTGTGATAAGTGTACATGTGCGTGTGTGTATAAGTGTACTTGTGCGAGTGTGCGCGCACCTGTTCGTGCGGCGTGACGGCGCGGCGCGGCGCGTCCCGCCCTCCAGCTTGAGCCGCTGTCTGTATGTGTACGTGTGCGTGTGTGTATAAGTGTACGCGTGCGTGTACGAGTGCGTGTCTGTATTTGTACGTGTCTGTATGTGTACGTGTGTGTCTGTATGTGTACGTGTGTGTCTGTATGTGTACGTGTGTGTCTGTATGTGTACGTGTGCATGTGTGTATAAGTGTACGTGTGCGTGTACGAGAGCGTGTCTGTATTTGTACGCGTATTTCTGTATTTGTACGTGTGTGTGTGTGTGTGTGTGTGTGTGTGGTGTGATAAGTGTACATGTGCGTGTGTGTATAAGTGTACGTGTGCGAGTGTGCGCGCACCTGTTCGTGCGGCGTGACGGCACGTCCCGCCCTCCAGCTTGAGCCGCTGTCTGTATGTGTACGTGTGCGTGTGTGTATAAGTGTACGCGTGCGTGTACGAGTGCGTGTCTGTATTTGTACGTGTCTGTATGTGTACGTGTGTGTCTGTATGTGTACGTGTGCATGTGTGTATAAGTGTACGTGTGCGTGTACGAGAGCGTGTCTGTATTTGTACGTGTATTTCTGTATTTGTACGTGTGTGTGTGTGTGTGTGTGTGTGTGTGTATGTGTGTGTGTGTGTGTGTGTGTGTGTGTGATAAGTGTACATGTGCGTGTGTGTATAAGTGTACGTGTGCGAGTGTGCGCGCACCTGTTCGTGCGGCGTGACGGCGCGGCGCGGCGCGTCCCGCCCTCCAGCTTGAGCCGCTGTCTGTATGTGTACGTGTGCGTGTGTGTATAAGTGTACGCGTGCGTGTACGAGTGCGTGTCTGTATTTGTACGTGTCTGTATGTGTACGTGTGTGTCTGTATGTGTACGTGTGCATGTGTGTATAAGTGTACGTGTGCGTGTACGAGAGCGTGTCTGTATTTGTACGTGTATTTCTGTATTTGTACGTGTGTGTGTGTGTGTGTGTGTGTGTGTGTGTAATAAGTGTACATGTGCGTGTGTGTATAAGTGTACGTGTGCGAGTGTGCGCGCTCCTGTTCGTGCGGCGTGACGGCGCGGCGCGGCGCGTCCCGCCCTCCAGCTTGAGCCGCTGTCTGTATGTGTACGTGTGCGTGTGTGTATAAGTGTACGCGTGCGTGTACGAGTGCGTGTCTGTATTTGTACGTGTCTGTATGTGTACGTGTGTGTCTGTATGTGTACGTGTGCATGTGTGTATAAGTGTACGTGTGCGTGTACGAGAGCGTGTCAGTATTTGTACGTGTATTTCTGTATTTGTACGTGTGTGTGTGTGTGTGTGTGTGTGTGTGTGTGTATGTGATAAATGTACATGTGCGTGTGTGTATAAGTGTACGTGTGCGAGTGTGCGCGCACCTGTTCGTGCGGCGTGACGGCGCGCCGCAGCGCGTCCCGCCCTCCAGCTTGAGCCGCTGTCTGTATGTGTACGTGTGCGTGTGTGTATAAGTGTACGCGTGCGTGTACGAGTGCGTGTCTGTATTTGTACGTGTCTGTATGTGTACGTGTGTGTCTGTATGTGTACGTGTGTGTCTGTATGTGTACGTGTGTGTCTGTAAGTGTACGTGTGCATGTGTGTATAAGTGTACGTGTGCGTGTACGAGAGCGTGTCTGTATTTGTACGCGTATTTCTGTATTTGTACGTGTGTGTGTGTGTGTGTGTGTGTGTGTGTGGTGTGATAAGTGTACATGTGCGTGTGTGTATAAGTGTACGTGTGCGAGTGTGCGCGCACCTGTTCGTGCGGCGTGACGGCACGTCCCGCCCTCCAGCTTGAGCCGCTGTCTGTATGTGTACGTGTGCGTGTGTGTATAAGTGTACGCGTGCGTGTACGAGTGCGTGTCTGTATTTGTACGTGTCTGTATGTGTACGTGTGTGTCTGTATGTGTACGTGTGCATGTGTGTATAAGTGTACGTGTGCGTGTACGAGAGCGTGTCTGTATTTGTACGTGTATTTCTGTATTTGTACG